GATAGATAGATAGATAGATAGATAGATAGATAGATAGATAGATAGATAGATAGATAGATAGATAGATAGATAGATAGATAGATAGATAGAAGTGGCAAAAAATAAATAAATAAACTGCTGTGCTATGTCTGTGTGCAATTAAATTGGACAAAATAATCCCATTCAACTGGCTGAATTTTATTGAAACTCAAAAAATAATTGTTAAATTTCCCTCAGGGATAAAGTAGTGGGTGTACATCTTTACCTGGTTAATTTTGAGGGTCAAGATGACTGCCAGTTGACCATAGAAAACATAAAATGCACCAACCTTAATATTGAGATAAAAACTGTTGTGCTAGTAGCCAAGCAGCGTCTGGAATATGAACACTATGCAGTTCAGGCTGCTCAAAATCTTTGCCTAAAAATTTGGCCTCAGTTATTGATGTCAACGAGTCTGTTAGCAAAATATCTCATCAAACACGTTATGATTTTTAATAAAACTCTCTGAAAGAAATCATTGGATGTACATACACCTCAAAAACATTGAACTGAATTGAAATTGAATAAAAAATATTGAACATTTGAAGACTGAGCTATAAGTAAAACTTATAGATATTCAGTTTGTTTACTTCTCTGAGTAGTGGGAAAACAAGCATGAAAACGTAGAACAAATTTTCACAATGATTGGAAAAAAATTTTCTGTAGTTGTTTTTTATATTGCATAACTAATATTTTGTGTCTACAAGAGTTAATAGGAATGATGAGCACAAAGGTATGAGTTAATTGTTTTACTACAAGTTTCTTTAAAAATGGTAAAGAAGTTACCATTTTCTTAAAGAAATAGGCTACACCTGTTTTTTGTTTTGTTTTTTAAACAAGTATATTCTAAATAAATATTACAAATGTGTTCATTTCTACAAAGCTGTCAAATATTTTTATTATTTTTTATGTTTACAAAATACACAAAATTATAAATGTTATTAATTGAGGTTCAATAAAAATGCTTTATGTTTAAATATCTGTTTTCTGCAATAAAAAATCCATCCATCCATTATGTCCTTCTTGTTCTTAATCAGGGTCTCAAGTCTCCAGACCATCATAGGGACACAAAAACACAAACAACTATCCACACTCCAGTCACACTGGACTATTTTATCACACTTTATTTCACTTAACAGATTATTATTTTGACATGAAAGCCTGGTCTGTGTTGAGTTTGTAAATGTTGTTGGTGACTCCTCCCTGAAGGAAAGTCAAGAGTGTATTTTTTTGAGGAAACTATATTAAAGCATATTAAAGTTCTGCATTCAGAGATCATGTCCAGCGTTGCCAGATGGGAAATGTTGAATTATCGTATCAGCAGCTCAAAATTATCGTACACACCCAAGTTACATTCTAGAGAGGCTCAAATTTACATCCTGCTCAGCTCACAGGTGCTCTGTATTCAACAAACTGCACATTCTTTTGTTTATAATAAAGTTAAAAAGCACTGTTGGGTGTCTGTTTTTTTAACAAAAGCTTTATTGTAAACAAGAACAAAACATGCAGTCTGGGGAAATGCTGCATATAAAAAGAAATGTTAGATAAAATGACTAGAATAAAATGTAAATTATAGGCAAAGTTAAAATGAAATCAAGAAAAGAACAAATCATTGTAGTTTATTGTACTTTTGATTAGTCAAGAAATAAACTGAGTACATAC